CACCCGTCTCACGTTTGGGGCGTCTAGCTCTCTGACGCTGCGAAGACACTCGGAGTAGCTAGCGTCTTTACCTACTCTAACCAAAATGGCCTCCGGTCTCGGCACCCTAGCGGTCTCTTCCCCTACCACCGGCACCGTCACCACCACCTCCATTCGCCCCATCAATACGTATCTCGCCGCCTTTCTCACCACCTCGAGGTCTCGCCTATCCGCAAGGATTAGTTGGATCCTCTTCCTCCCCATCCCTTCCAGCACTCTCCCTACCTCCTCCATACCATCGTATAATGCTCTCATCCCTTCCTCCTCCTTCCCCCTAAAAACGATTTTCCCCACCACTTCCCTACTCACGGTGCCCCTCTTGGGGAATTTGAGGCTTTTCGTCACATATATAAACTCTCCCCCTTCGCTCGGGCCCTCCTCCTCCTTCATGCCGTCAAGCTCTCTGTAGATCCCCCTCAGCTCCCTCGCGGTGTGCCCCTCCATCCTCGCATCATCCCCGACCACCGCCGCCGTGTCCCACTCACTTCCCCACGACCTGGGATGCGCATCCGACACCTTCACCCCCTTGAGCGTGTCCTCACTCCACCTCATCTTAATCGCCCGCATAAAACCCTCTTTCGTCCTATCGTTCTCCTCCAGCAACTCGTCCACGTCTCGTTCCCTTTCTAACCTCCTCACTCTCTCCTCTAACATCCGGCACTTTGTCTCCCACTCACCGCACTTGTCGTTGCCACACCCGTTGTTTCCCCCTTCTTCTTCTCTTTGTTTGATCCTCTCCTCCAGCGCCTTACACTTCTCCTCCCAGTCGTCACACCTCTTTTGTGTCCGGTCTAGACTTCCCTTTAAGTTCCTGATCAGTACTGCCTCCTCTTCCCTCGAGGGGTCTGCGCTATCCCTCTTCCCCTCCCTTTCCTTCTCGTACTTCTCCCTCAACTCCCTATACCTTCTCCTTTCCTGCTCGATTGTTTCAGTCTGACTTTTCGTTGTTTGCTCAAGTACCTTTATTCTTGCTTCTAGTTGCTCGTATCTCCCTTGTAGGGAGTCCATGTACCCTTGCACCTCTGTTGTTGTACTCCTCTTCTTGTCTTGCTTCTTCCCTTCGTCACCATTTCCCTCCAGCGTTCTCGCATTCTTATTCCCCTTCCTGCTACTTTCCTCTTTCCTCAACTTGATGACTTTCCTTGTATTTCTGTCCATCCCTTTGATCATATCCTTAATTGCTTTGTTGACATTCTTACCCTCCTTTGAATTAGTAAAATCTACCGCCCTTTCAATCAGTCTTCTCAGTTCCTCTATAGCCTTGTCGGTCTCTTGAGTTTGTTCCTCTTCCTTCAATGGGCTGCCCTCCGCCTTTCTCTTTTGCGAGGTCCCCTCTTGAGGACCCTCTCCTTCCCTCCCCTTCATTGGCGGGGTCCTCGCCAGCGAATCTCTTCTGACAAAACTGCCATCCTTGTTTACTTGCTGCTGCGCAATCCTCTCCAGCAGTGCACTCTCGCCATCCTCCGCGAACGTTTCCTCCATCACTACTCCCCTCTCCTCCTCGCTCCTTCTCCTCTCCTCTTCTCCCGCATGACTGGCCTCCCCGTATCCTTGGGCCTGCCTGTCCACGTCTGGGACAGGGTGGGGTTCCCGGCTAACCGGACCCACCCGGGGAACAATATCGATTGGATTTAACATCATGCCTTCTGCCTTTTTCCGCTACGGCCAGCGTCCTTATCCATAACCGAGTCGTCGTCGTATTTCCGTCCGTGAAGAAGAAGAATATGGAATATGAAAAGGTCCCCTAGTCCTCGTCAAGCTGATAAGGTCGGGGCCTGAAGTAAACAAGAGTTGGGGCAAGGGAGCTCCGATAGTAAAGTATAAAGATAGGGTGGCCGCTTAAGACAAGTTGAAGCAAAGCGTACCACCAGCAAAGGGCACCGCAGGGTTGCCAGACCCTGTCCTGCAAGTCGCAGGACCCCACGTGAGCCAATCGCTACTGGTCTTCCATCCAGTCATGCGTCCCCTCGGCTTGGTCTCCGCCTTGGGATTTGGGATTTTTATTGAAGTTTTCTCTTCTTAGTGCTGGTTTTTAGGCCTACACCCCCCGTACTCCCTAGAAAGTACATGGTTTTACGCCTGGGTCACACCGGAGTGTGGGCCCAAGCGGCACCGTTTTACCGTCCGTTCAATGCCCTAAGCCACGACACGACAGCCGAGCTGGACGTGAGCCAATCTCTACTGGTCTTCCATCCAGTCACGCATCCCTTCGGCTTGGTCTCCACCTTGGGATTTGGGATTTTTATGGATGTTTACTCATCTCGGACCGGCCTTAGCCAGTCCCCCCGTGATACCGAAGTATCACGTGGTATAACGTTGCCAGTTTGCCGAAGCAAAACCGACAGCGGCGCCGTTAGTTCCCATGCAATGCTCTTTGCCACGACACGACAGCCGAGCAGGGAGGTTTGGTCCGCGGCGCCATATTTGAGGTGCTACCAGACGTTGTGTCAAGAACACGAGCACCCTCCTATTCTGGCGCTAACCTACCATCTCAAGGTGGTCATTTGGTAGGTATCTCTCCCTCGCCAGTGGGAGAGACGCTCCCGGTAGGAACCACCCCCCGGTGGACTGGTCCGCGGCGCCTTATTTGAGTGCTTCCAGCGGCTGTTTTAAAAGCCGCGAGCCCCTATTCGACGCTGGCCCTGCATCCCGTACGGTCACTTGCATGGCCTTCCCCCTATCCGCCACCTGGGGACGCGCCTGGTTGGGAATCCGCCCGCCAGGAACCTAACCTAACCTAACCTAACCTAACCTAACCTAACCTAACCTAACCTAACCTAACCTAACCTAACCTAACCTAACCTAACCTAACCTAACGTAAATATACCCCTACTTCTCCGTGTCCCGTGAGTAACTGTGTAAGCCAGTAGTTTGTTTCTCCGTGTTTGCGGTTCGCCCACGGCCTCAGATCCTTTATTAGCGTTTTCGTCCAGGAGGAGCGAGCTTCCCATTCTCTTTGCCAAGTTTCTAGGGTACCTCCTCTGTCTTTCCCTAACGCCCTTTCCTCCACCAGCAGCCTTAAAGGGATCAAGCTCGCCACCACCAAGAGGTCTTTCGTTGCGACCCAGAACCGCGTCGTATGCTGAATTCCACAAAAGCGGTCCCAGCACCGATCCCTGTGGCACTCCCCCGTTTATCTCGAAGGAGTACTCCTCCCCCGACGGTAGTCTTGCGGCTGCTTCTCTGTCCGTTAAATAACTAAAAATCAGTCTTCTATATATGTTGGGGACTCTCTTTTCTTGGAGGGCCTCCATAATCACTTGAACGGGCACAGTGTTGAAAGCATTTCGGACGTCCAGGGAGGTCACCACTGAGACGCGCAAAGCTTGGGCTCAACTATTGTATATTTTTTTGTCGTAATATCACATTCAGTGCTTGCGACAGGTCAAATTACAGCATAAATAAGTAGTATACAATAAAAGTACAAACGGACAAAGAAATTCATAAAAAAAACTAACAATATTAAAAATAAAAATACAAGTTAAAATCACAAATTAAAAACAATAGGTGTACTGAGGTATTCCTCTATGGAGTAGAAACAATAAGCTAAAAAATGATTTTTTATAAAATTTTTAACTTAACGAAAGGTAACTGCTTCACAGCCAGTGGTAGTACATTATACAAATCTATGCGGGGGCTATTATTTTTGGATTTGGGAAGTATGGAATCCTCAGATTTTTTGCGTTCCTAGTGTTGTAGCTGTGTGTAGTGTCATTAGTTGGGAATGTAGATAACTTTTTGTGAATTTCTAAAAGAGCAGTGTACATGAATATTGATGGCAGCGGCATAATTCGAAGTTGACGGAAATATCGCTGGCAGTGTGCTCTAAACTGGGCACCTACAATAACCCTTATCGCTTTCTTCTGCATAATAAAAGCTTTGTTCGATTTGGGAGCATTTCCCCACAAAGTTACTCCATACAGTAGATGAGAATGAAAAAGTGAGAAGTAGCAGGATATAAGGGTTTTAATAGATATTGCTACTATCTCTTCCAGCTTTTTCTTGAGGACTTTCTCTGCCACTTTCCCAGCGAAGTCCGTGAGGCAAATCGGTCTATGCCCTCCACTGGTCTTTGGCATCAGTACCAGCCTGCTTCGCTTCCATGTCTTGGGATATATTCCCGTTCTCATCGCCTCATTTATTATCGTGGTCCAGGCCTCCGTTATTGTCGTCGCCGCCTCCTTCACCCCCTACCCCGTCTGGTCCAGGCGCTTTGTCGTTGGGCAATGTTCTCGCCGCCTCCAATACTTCGGCGTCCGTGGCTACCCACGCCTCCTCGTCCGTTTCCGCCACCTCCTCGTCCTGTCTTAACTCGGTGTGGTTGGGGAATAGGCCGTTCACCGTCTCTACGAACGCATCGTCCGTCCATCCTACCTGGACCGTCCTCCTCCTCCTCACCTTCTGCGCGACAATCTGATATCCTTTTCCCCAGACGTCGTTGTCCAGGTCGTCGCATAGCAATCTCCAACATCTTCTTTTGCTGGTTTCTATCATTTCTCGCAGTACCCTACGTGCCTTCTGCCAGGCTTCCTTCTCCGGCACTGCCGGTCTCCCTGCCCTGACCGATCTCTGGTGTCTCCTCCGCTCCTCGTTACACCGCTTCCGCTGGAGAGCGATCTCCTCCCTCCACCAAAAAACGGCTCGCCTTCTGCCCGGCCGTCGTCTCGGCATCGCGTCGTCGCAAACCTTGCGAAGCAGCTGTGCGAGACTCTTATCGCTCCACGACCGGCCCCCTTCGTCTTTTTCTTGCAGGAGTGACTCCCTCAGCGCCTGTTGATTCAGTTTTCTAGGGTTCCACGCTGCCTCGTTGCTCGCCCGGGGTCTCTGCTCCGTCGTTCTCGTAGGATCGCTCAACTCCCATACAATATAGTTGTGGTCGCTGAGAGAATCAATCCCCAGCACCTCCCATCCGCTCACCTTGTTGATCATCTCATCCTCATCTGCTATCATCGTCACATCTATTATAGTCCCTTTGCCTCCAACCCCTGTCCAACTTTGTCCACAATCACTCCACCTGTCGCCATTATCCCTGCCGCACCTGTCACGTCCCTGAACACACGCATCCCCCTAGTGTCCGGACCTACCTCCGAGAGCACAAGTACCTCCGCCCCCACTTCACTTGCTACTTTCCCCGCCATGTCCAAGGCCACTCTACTATTATTAAGAGAACCTTAATCATTACGTGCGTAGTCTATTTGCCGTCCTTCCTCTTGTGCATCCTCACCTTCACGCGCAAGCGTCACCTCCTTCACTACGGGGTTTGGCGCCACCCCCACCCGTCCCTTGTCGTGCGGGCACCCCGTCGTATACGCCCTATGTCCCTTGCCAGTACCTGGCTCAACTCCCTCGCACACAAAACATTCGTTTTCACCCGCGCACTCCCTGGCCTGGTGTCCCGCCTTCCCGCACATAAAGCACATGCGGCGCCTATCCGCGCCCGTACACTTTGCCACTATGTGCCCTACTTCCCAACATCTTACGCATCGCGCCTGCTCCACCAGCACTCTCACCCTGCACGACGTCAGGCCAACCCTGAGGAAACCTGTTCTTGTGATCGCATCCGCCGTTGCCCGGTCGACGAAAACATACGCCACCATCTGCCCTCTCTCAGTTGCCACCATCGTCTTCATCCGGCACCTAGCCTTCGGCTCCACTCTCAGTATGGGCTCGAGCACTTCCTCCTTTGTAGTCACGGCATCTAAATCCCGTACGGCTAGCTTACAGTTCTCCTCCAGGAGCATTACTTCCCGGTCCGTAATGGCGGCCTTAATCGTATTCAGCACCGGCACAGCCTTTCCCACCCCTCTCTCTACCCTCAGGAGTATATCACCCGTCCGTGTCTTTGTTATGCCTTCTATCCTGGTGCTGACCCCCGTTATGTCTACCTTCCTGACCCGTCTCAGCACTTCCTCCATGCCGTTCTCACCCTTCAGCTTAATCAGCGCCGCCTCCGGTCTCGGTCTCCTTCTGACATTTGCCGCCGACGAGGTACCCTCGCTGTCGCTTTCTCGCGGTCTTAGCGGGGGGCGTGGGGACTCCCTTACGGGTTACCCCCTAAAACCCTTTCCTCTGCCTGGTATACCATGGCCGGGCATCACCTTTTCAGGCATTCTTCACTGCCATGGCCGGCCGGCGCCTAATAGTAGACGCCTACGGTGTTACCGCCGCTCTTGCTCCCGATCTCGGGCTTCTCTCTCCCTCGCCCTGTCGCTGTTCTGTACCAGCCTCGCCACGGCCTCCCACTTCTCGCGCTCTCTCAGCATGATCCTCACCACATTTGCCTCTTCCAATCGCTCCCCGATCGCTGTCTCTGCTGCCACTCTCTCTCTCTCTCCCAACGCACGCACCTCAAAACCGCGTGACGCGGCACGTCTATTTCCCCGCAGTCAACAGAGGCAACAAGCATCCAATACAGTTATAAGTGCGACATCGATGGTGTATGCTTCTACTTGGAGACTTGTCAGGAGTCATTCCCTATGTAGTCAAGTGGCCCAATAATTTTTTCCAAGACAATGTTAAATAAGAGTGTTGATAAGGGGCCGCCCTGACAGACACCCCTTTTTACTCTAAACCCCTTGTCCATTTACTAGACCACTGGTAAACTCTAATGTCATTTTATTTAAATTTATATGCTTCTGTGGTATTTCAATTTCTTTATTTCATTCTCGTTTGACTGTGGTCATAAGCACTCCCAAAGATAAAACAGGCGATCAAAAAAGAATTGACGTCGAGTCGCTGTTCAAGTTAACTATGTATAAACAAAAATTCCAAAGGTGACTCGACAGCAACTCCTTGTTGATTGCTAGTACATAATTATGCTAGTACTGTACGCATCTTACTTTGACTGTAGTAGAGCGTAAATGTGGCTAATACCTCCAGACCACATTCCTCTTTTTTAATAAGATATAAGAGCACAACTGTTTGTTAAAATTTAAACTTGACCAAATGGCATCAAATGAGGCATTGCGGCTAGTGTTTCAAGACCTGATGTCGAGACTTCGTCCCTTTCACATCGACGAAAAACACGTTGGTAGTAAAATTTTGATTTTATGAAAAATTATTAAACCTAGCAAACTGTGACGGATTGCCTACTAATCCTGTAATCATGCACCTTCTCCCATGGTTAACAAGTTGTTCCTGAACACCCATAAAAAACGGCTAAAAACGGATTTTCAGCTTTAAGCTCTCATTAACTGCTTCCTGCGAGAGAGTTGCACATTCCGCTTCTAAAATAAAAGTTTTTGTTACTCAGTTGTAAACGTTGATTAACAAGACAAAACGCAAACGGGTAAACGTCATCTTTAAACGCTACTGACTTGTAAAACTGACAGCTGACCTGTAAAAATTTTACAAGTTAGTAATCTAGTCATTTCATTGGCCAGAATTAATGCTAAGTCTCTGTCACATGGATAACATGATATTTTAGACATTTCTTCGAGATCAATTTAAGAACTAATAATTTACGTTTACTATTGTTTACAAATGAGTAACCAATAAAATATTGTACATTATACGCCAGGTAATAGTTTTTACTGGCTCTAGGAGATGACAGGCTCGCCTGTCAACTTCTCCTATCGCCAGTAAAAACTCACTTACCTGGCTAATAATGTAAAATACTATCAAAATGAAACAGTTTTTTTATAACCATTTACTTACAAAAATATGAACAAAATTCAATACAATGCTTATATAAATACAACTAAAAGAGCAATGCATCCACAACTTAAATTGCCACAGTAGGTATCCTAAAACTAAAAGCTGCCTTTTAACGCAGAGATAATACTGGATCACATAATCTAAACATAACTACTTTAGACATACAAAAAGTCCATAATAAATGATAAATACAAACTGGTATATATATTAAAGGTCCATCTCTTAATAGAAAAAATAAACCTATTTACATAATATACAATTTATTGCACTGAGGTAACATTTGGTAAATAATATATAACTGGAAACGATTGTCTTTGAATTAGGTATTTTTTCTTTCACGAGTTGATGCACATATGTTGGCGTGATTGCACCAATCGTCGGTCTGAAATACGTAAATTAGCAAAAGCCAACAGCTTTAGTGAAAGTAAAATACTATACCTGGCATTTCAAAGAGCAATAGATCGCTAGTCCGCAAAGACAAAGCAATGTCGCCCTTTTTGAACAAATACATATCCTCTCTACTTCTAGTAAGGTCGAATGTACAATCTGAAATTGAGAATCATTACCAAAAGGGAATCATTGTGTCGAGAGTTGTTTAAATTATGCCTAATCCATAACTGGTATCGCCAATATGAAGCGGATTTTGGTAATTGATTGCAATTCAGACCAGTAATTATCACAACTGAATTAAAATTATGCATAATACAAAGTGACTTAATGGCAAGGAGGGATCGTCATCGATGGGGCATTCGCTCATCTTTTATGAAATCTCCAAAGATAAAATCTCCAGTATAATAAGTAAGACTATAACCACAACAGTTCGTCTTACAAAACTGTTTAAGACGATAATCCCGGCTCGATAGAAACTGGGAGGACAATTCCAATAAACTAAAGCTGAATGGAATCTTTTCTGCAAAAAAAATAATGCCATTTTTTTTTGGAACTCTCAAGGAATTTTGCTGATTGATTATATGAATAAGGGTCGTACGATAACAGGACGATATTATGCAAACATGATGCATTGCCCTTGGAGATCCTATTAAAGTAAAGAGACGCGGAAAACTGTCACAAGGTGTCTTGGTGCTCCACGACAATGCACCAGTGCACAAGTTTAGACTTTCAAAAGCTGCTGTAGTTGATTGTGGCTTCGAAGAAATTGAACATCCACCTTATAGTATACCAGGATCACTTTTTAAGTTTTTTAAGAGTACATTCAATTAAATGAAAAACTTCGATTCTGTGTTTTATGTTTATTTGAACCCTTAGAATTTTATTGGTCAAGTCGAGAAGATGATATCGGTCAAATGGGCGCCGTCACAATTGATTGCTATATGGGCTCGTTTTATGGCATTTTTCATCACTTCAGCGATATTCTCGACAGAACGGGCACTCCGGGCCGGCCACTTTTGGCAGCGTCTCATGTGGTCCCATATTCCGCGTTCTTGGAGAGTGTATCGCTCCATGGCTTGTTCACCTTGTATTCTAAACCTGTCTAGTTCACAAATGTCAAAACAGATTTGACATTGGCCGCGATTTGCAAAAATAAGAGCATCTTCCAATAGGGTGATTTCTTTTGGCCCACCTAGTATTTTATCGAAAATTAGGCAATAAATCCACTTACCAAAATCGTATTAAGCCATGACTAGTAAGACAAAAAGCAGATTCAAAGGTCGAAATCAATATCAGATTATGACAACTAGCATTAATTTTTTTGTAAAATACGGTTCACTGAGGAAACAGTATTTTCGTACTTCCGAGACTAAAATGACAACTTCACTCCATTATGACAAGGACTGAAGTGTCACTTTTTGTCCCGCCGGGATTAAATTTGGACGAAAATCCCGGAAGGATGAAATTACTAACAAGGCAATTTCAGTAGGTTGTTCCACATTTTGTATGCGGCAGTACTTCTTAAACGCATCGTACTGCTGCTCATATAGTTTTTTGGATTTCGGTGGTATCAATTCTTTACCTACTTTGGCTACTTTTGATCAATATCAAATACACCTTTGTCACCCACCACCAAAATTATGACACTAGCAATGACAGTTTCCAAATTATTTTTGTTACCATAGCATAGGAATTGTCGTACCAACGCAACGTTCCTATGGTAACTTGTCAAGAAGCGATTTTTTGAAAGAACGCGTTCTTTAACTCCATACAGATTAAGTGTTTCAGTTTCGGAAGTACGAAAAATATCGTATATACCTTGCGACTGAAGTAGTGGTCTTAATCCCTCAGGTAAATTATGGCCCTCCCTTCGGTCGGGCCATAAGCTTTACCTTCGGGATTAAAAGTACTACTTCAGTCCCGCGGTATATAATGTACTATTACAGCGGAAATATTTACTCTAGTAGGTACGCGATATTTGTTTTCCGTGCATTTTAATGAGCGGCTCATTCCGTCTGTGTGAAAACCTATTTCAATTCTTTAGGAAATTTCCATGGCTTAACATGATTTTGTTAATTGGATTTATTGCCGAATTTTTGATAAAATAATGAGAAATAGCCGTACTATATCATCTCAACATACCAACTAGAAATTAAA